AAGTGTACTGGGGTGGGTAGGAAGGAAAGTGTGCAACAATGCATGCAAATCTAACTTTTCTGTAAGTTTTAGTTAAAATCACAATTTAAAAACTTTGATAATAATTAAAAAGAGCTCGTACAGGGCACAGAAGAGCTGAAACAGGAACAAGGGACAGATGCCCACCTGGAGTAATTCAGATGAAAGGGAGGATTAATCTTTAGAAGACCAAGAGATAAGCAACCCGAAGCTAGAAAACAGAGATGCCTGGGCCTTTTGGAGACCAGAGTGGGACAGCCAGGCCTCAGGCCTCATCGGGAATCACACACTTCATGAACCTGTCCCATGCATTGATCCCAGCGTTCAGGGCTAGGAAGAGTGAGCCCAGACACCTGCACCATGGATACTTTGCAATCAGGCTGGTTCCCTTTCTACAGTGGCAGAGAGGCTCGGGGCTTCCATGCTACCTATTCAGCTTCTTGTTTCCTGGTGGTTCCGGCATGCTGGATATCATGATGATGGCACAGGATAGGAAAAGGTTTCTATCTATGGTTTATAGCATTGCTGTGAGTCATAGTCAACTCAATGGCAGGCACTTCCTAACAACAACATCAACAACAGTTCCAGGAAAAGTCCCTGGTGTCAGGTGTCACCCAACTTGGCTGTCATTGGATTTGTACATCTTTGAACACAAACAGAGGGGAATGCTATTACCTGGTTACTATCTGAAACCAGGAAAGCAGCAGCTGCCACCACAGTCCACCCCTTGGATGTTTGCTCACCCACTCCCTTCTCTCCAGTCATCCACTTTCAAAACTGCCCTCCCAGAGAGCTCCTGGCCCTCATAGTTCTGAAAATGCATTCATTCCTTCCCCAGTGGTGATGTCTGCAAGTCAAGCCCAGATGCTTTGATTTCTGGGAATTGTGTCAATCTATAGGCTAAGTCTAGAAGCAGTTCTCATGGCACTTGGAGCCAAGTGACTAGTTTAATTATTCCCAGCACACCAACAGCTAATAAAGTTAGACAGAACCAGCAGCAATAGCAAGCCACAGTGGTGGGCAGAAAGGGTGGGTATGAAGGGATGTTAATGGGACCACTAGAAGATGCATATGGGAAACACATATTTTGTTTTCTCAACAAACATTGAGTCGCTCCTGTGTTTGTACCGTGAGTGCTTGTGACTCAGCTGTGGCCAAGGCAGAGTCCTCACCCTCAGAGGGCTCGGTGCCCAGGAGGGTAGCAGGAAATCCTGATAAAAGAAGCAGAGCATTATGATGCGGAACTGGAGGGTGTCTGAGACCCCAAAGGAAGGGCTGACATTTGGGGTGTATAGGGCATCACAGGGGGTCTACTGGGGAAGGACTGTCATTGCTGGGATCTGGCAATGAGTTGGCCACATACCACTGGGGATAGAATGTTCATTCCATAAAGAAGCCCTCAGAGACGGTGTCCATGACTCTTTCCTCTTCTGGGGTGACAGGATCACTATGACTTTGGGATGAGAGCTGTGAAGACTGTGATCTCGGCTGCTGGGAACCTTAAGCGAGAAAACCCCAACATGGATGAGGTGAGCTGGGCAGGCCCCAAGGCTCCATCTTCAGTCAAGGGCTTTCCCAGGAAACAGGGCTGTGGATGCCAGGAGGGGCATCTGGCCTGGGCTGTGCTGAGAACCCCACAACCTCTTCTCTAGGAGCTGATCTGTCTCAGGGCCATCCGTGATGTCAATGTTCCCAAGTTCCTGCAGGAGGACCTCAAGCTCTTCTCTGGGATTGTGTCCGACCTGTTTCCCACCATCAAGGAGGAGACCACAGACTATGGCATCCTGTACAAAGCCATATGCAAGGCCTGTGAGAAGAACGACCTCAAGGATGTGGAGGGTGAGCTCTCACTTGTCCCCCTGCAGGACTAGGAGGCCAAACGACTGGGATGCTCTGTCACCCTGGTATCCAGGAAAGGGGAACTGAGATCGGGGAACCCAGCCTCAGGGTCCTTAGCACCTCGAGAGGTATGCTGCAAGGCAGTCTCTCCACAGAGCAGGCATCCCCATCCTGGTCCCCTTTGAACCTACCTGGTGTTCAGAAAGCTCACACTTGTCCTTCTCTTCCATAAAAACCAAGCCAGTTGCCTTCAAGTCGATTCCAATATGGGGACCCCATGTGTGCCAAAGTCGAGCTGTGTTCTACATGGTTTTCAAAGGCTGGTATTTAGGAAGTGGATCACAGGCCTTTCTTCCAAGGTACCTCTGGGTGGACTCAAACTTCTAACTTTTCAACTTTAACTTTTTAACTCGAATTGCTGAGTATGTTAACTCTTAGTATCACCTGGACACTCCATCCCCCTTCCCACAAGACCTCATATTTGATGGCTGCAGCTCTTCTTCCTTGAATAAGGAGCAGTCTCTGCCCTTGCTTCCTTCTTGGGCCTCACAAGCCTTCCTTTGCCAGGCAGAGGCTCCTTGCTGGCAGGACTTTCCTCTGCCTCACCCTTCAGCACCATGAACTGAGGGGGGAGATGGTGGTCTGTGGCCTGTTCTTGTACTCTCAAACCTGCCCCAACACATCCAATATAGCTCTTCAGAAAGGGTCCGACCTCTATCACATGAAGAAAGCCCTGAGACTCCCATAATGGGATTTGCTCATGCACCTTGAAGAGTAACAATCCTGGTGTCATTGTGCTAAGATTTGGGCCCTTCTCCAGCCAGCTTATTACTCAGACCACCCCCTGGCTAGAAGGCTGGGGAAACACTAGCCTGAAGTAGTCTACCCAGACTCCTCTTTGCTAAAAGCAGGTTCTTGTTTTCACTTGGGCACAGCTATCCATGCAGCCTGAGAGTTTGCTTACGGCCTTGGCCTGCTTCCCCTTCTTCTCCTCCCAGCCTCCCAGTGGTCCTGCATCAGGGAGTACTGTGCCACAAATCATCCCTGGCTCGCTCTCCTTCTGTGATATTATTTTTTTTATTTTCTATTTTTTTTATTAAATTTTATTAGTTTTAATGAACATTTACAGAGATTTTGGGTTTTCATTCATTCATTGTTGCACT